GATCAGACGTCCCAAGGTACAGGCGCAGCTGGTGTACAAGCTTTGACTGTGCAAAAGCTCCCCTGGCCACCACCGAAACCTGGGGTTCCAGGCTCAGCGATGAATCCAGGATCACTCCCAAGCTGCGAACCTGCGTCTTCAGGGGGAGTGTAACCCCATCCAACACAGGCTGTAACCCTATGCCCTGTTCGGCCTTTCGACTGACCAGGAGGACCTCTGTCTTGTCTGGATTCAATTTCAATTTGTTAGCCCTCATCCAGTCTGTCACATGGGAACATAGAGCTATACACTAGGGCTGGGTAACAACGGAAAAATTTGTTTCTAAACTAGTTTCGTTTTTAGGGGGTCCATTGCGTTTCATTTTTTAAAAGAATTCCGAATTTTTCTTTAAAATTTTTTCGTTATTTACGAAATTTCGTAAATTTCGAATTGATTCGTTAATGGTGGACGCGATTGCGCAATACGCTAAAAAAACCTCCAAATGGGACAGGGGGAACTTCTGAAGCTTCCCTCTCCCTCTGTTGTTGACTGTTGGTGTGATAATTTATTTTTTTATCACTGATAAAACAAACAACAACTATAAAACTTGCACCAGACATACGGAAATAATAACGAAACAATTTCGAAACGATTTCGAAACGATTTCGAACCAATTACGAAACAATTACGAAATAAATTGAAAAATTCGTTTCGATTTTTAGTTGCTCCTGCATGGCTCAATATCGGATCGTAAGCTAATTTAAATACGAATCAATAACGAATTACGAAATTAACGAACGAACCCGCCCAGCCCTACTATACACCAAAAATCCTGCAGAGATCAGCAAATTCATTACACACAGCCTCTGACCTTGCTCACCAGCTTGAGCTCTGGCGTTCATCCAAACTCCTTTGGGGGTTTATTCTTCAGTCGTTGCGACATATAACTACTTACAGGTCAGAATACTTGTAATCATAACAAGACACTTATACAACAAGTATGGCGATAGATTAAAGATGGCCGAGTGCAAGTACATGGCAAAGAGGAAGAGCACATAGAAGCCAGGAAATGACTTAGCTGTCCCTCTAGGATAACATCTCCATTCTCTTAATGCTTCAATATACTCTGCTGTGAGCACATGTCCATTAGAACTGTATTTTTCCACACACTGGAGGTATAAGCAATGCTTTCCTATGTAATATAGCGTGCAGGTGCTCAGCCTTCTCTATCCAAAAGTGCAGAGGCCTCTTTCTCTCACCTAGGAACCCAAGACGTCTGCGCAGCTGATGGAGGAGTGGGGCCTGGACGACGTAGACTACGCTTTCTCCGAGGAGGACTACCACATGCTGACCAACTACAAGGCCTTCAGCCAGTTCCTGAGGTGGGCTTTATTTCCTCCTGTCCCATCACAATGGCCTCACATCTTCCCATCTCTCCTCCTCCTTCTTCCACTTCTTCCTATCCTTTCCTTTTCTTCATGGTCCCCTCTTCCTTCTTCTTCCCCTTCTTTCTTCTCCCTTCATTTCTTCTTAATCTCTCCCATTCTCTTCTTTTCTTCTCTACCTTTCTCTTCCTCTCCTTCTTTCCTTCTCTTTCCATTCTTTTATCTTCTTCTCTCCAATTTCTCTTGCTTTTTACTCCCACTTTTTTCCTCTCCCTTTTTCCTTCTCTTTCGAGTCCCCTTTCTTTTCCCCATCTTTTCCTTTCACACCTTCCTCCTCCTCTTCCAATGCCATCCTACTTCTCTTCCTCCTCCTTTTTCTTTCCTTTGTATCTCCTCTTCCCCAATCTCATTCCTCTTTATATGTCTGACTTCTTTCTCTTCCTTTTTTCCTATCCCCCTTTCCTTCTCTTCCTTCCTTCCCTCCCCCTTTCCCTTTTCCCTCCCTCCCTTCCCCTTTCTTTCCTTGCTTCCTTCATCTCTCCCTTTCTTTCCTCCCTCTTTCCTTCCCTCCTTCTTTCATCCCTTACATCATCCCTCCCTCTTTCCCTTTTCCCTTCCTTCCTTCCCTCCTTCCCTCCCTTAAACACTTCCCCTTTCTTTCCTTGCTTCCTTCAACTCTCCCTTTTTTCCTC